GTTCTGCTTCTGATTCAGCTCCCTGCTAATGTACCTTGGAAAAGTATCAGAAGATGGCCCAAGAGCTGGGATCCCTTCCATTCACACAATAGATTTGCACTGAGTTCCTGGCTCCTGTAGACAGATCTGTGTACTGATGTTCAGTCTCCAAACGACTACAGCAGCCAAAGTTGGTTAGACTGAAATCAAAAACCAGCAGCTCTCATGTATGTGGCAGGGGTCTAAGGACTTGGGTCATCTGCTACTGCTTTCCCAGGAACACCAAGAGGGAACTGGATTGGGAGCGCAGAAGCCAGAACTCCAACTGGAGTCCATATTGGATGCTGGTATTGCTTACAACACTTAACCCATTGTGCTACAACCCAACCCACAAAGCAAGTATTACATAAAATTTAGCTAAGTCACTTGAATTGACTGGCACTTTGCAATATTGCTTGCCTCAAGAATTCTGTTCTGAATTGCAAGATGTAACTGAATGTAAGTATGTTTGGGATTAAAATGAAAAGAATATTCAAGAGATACATTTTTTGTAAATCATCTATTTTTATTTTATCTGAAGGCAGATACAGAGTTGGTCTCCACTCCTGTTTTACTTACCGGTTGCCTGTAGAAACTGGGGCGAAGTCAGGCAGAAGAAGCCAGGAACATGGAAATTAATCCCAGTCATCCACAAGTGGCAGGGATCCAACCAATTGTTTGAGCCAGCATCTGCTGTCTGCCTGGGCGGGAAGCTAGACTGGAAGTGGAGTAGCTGGGACTTAAAACAGATACTGATGTAGAACACAGTGTCTCACATGATAACTTAACTGCTTAGCCAATTGTCTGTCAAAGCATGAAATAAAATATTTAATAAATTCCTGTAGAAATCGTTCTACTGAGTGTTTTCTATGATAACTTTAGTACGTTTATTGACTCATTATATGTAAATATCTATGTTTTTCTACTTGCTATAGTTTTCTTTTTTTTACATTTTATCATTATTCATTTTAATGTACAGTTCCATATTCCATTATCCCTTCCCTAATTCTCTCCCCCCCACCTAGTTCCTCTGTATCATTACTAACATATAGTTCTTCATACTCAGTCATATGTCCATCATTATGGGCATGGACAGTGGCAGAGAGTCCAGAATCCTATTGTCAAGATATAGTAAACAGTTTCATTATAAGTCCATCTTTGTCTGGAAACAGAAATGCATACCACACTGCATCCTCACATCTGGATGTTAGTCTTCATTTCATAGCTACTGTACATCCTCTTAAAGGAAAAGTCATGACACAAAATCAATAGAAAGAAAAATAGAAATGTACAATGCCATGAAGTTAAATGACATGTTACTAGATACGACAGTCTCCATTACACATCTACTCTACATCCCCTTAACTAAAGAGCCACAAAACAAAATCAACATCAGGGAGAAAAAAAGAGGTTAACAACACCATGAAGTAAAATAACATGCTATTAAATGACTAACGCGTAGCTGAAGAAGTGAAAATCAAGAACCTTCTTGAAGAAAATGATGCCACTGCGTGATTTACGAGTCATTGAATGATTTAAACAGAAAAAAGTGTTTTAAAGAGATTAAACCAACAGAAAAATAACAAAACCCATGAGATATAGTTTCCACTGATCTTTGTTTGTGAGCTGTGTCTCCTGTAGGCAACAAATAGATGCGTTTTGTTTTTTGTTTGTTTGTTTTGTTTTGTTTTTTTAAAAATTTATTTTTTATTTTTATTGGAAAGGCGGATATACAGAGAGGAGAGACAGAGAGGAAAATCCTCCATCCGATGATTCACTCCCCAAGTGAGCGCAACAGTTGATGGAAGCCAGGAGCCTCTTCCCGGTTTCCCGCACCTCGACTGCCCTCCCAGGCCACAAGCAGGGAGCTGGATGGGAAGAGGGGCCACCGGGATTAGAACTGGCACCCATATGGGATCCCGGGCATGCAAGGCGAGGACCTTAACCACTGCGACACCGCGCCAGGCCCGCGTTTTGTTTTTTAATCCAGTCTACCAATCTACAACCTTTGATTGAGCTTAAGCCATTTACATTCAGAGTTAAACATACAGAGGTGGTACTTTGGTCCTGTCATTTTAGGAATGGGTTGTTCAATGATTTAGTCTTCTGTTGTCATTTTACTGGGACGTTCTTCCCCTTTGCCTTTGGTTTTGATGGGTGCTATTCCTCTTCTCTGTCAAGAGAACATCTTGAAGTATCATTTGGAGGGCAGGTTTGGAAGAGACATATTCTTTTAACTTTTCTTTAATGTAGAGACTGTTATTTCATTTTCAAAAACAAAAGATAGCTTTGCTGGATACGTTATTCTGGACCAACAATTTTTTCTTTTAGAATCTAGAATATGTCACTCCATTCTCTTCTTGCCTGTAGAGTTTCCTAGGAGAGGTCTCCTGTGAGTTCAACTGGCATTTCTTTACATGTCAGTCGATTTTTTTCACGTGCACATTTAAGGATCTTTTCCTTATGTTTGATTGAAGAGAGCTTGATGATCATGTGTCTTGGTGAAGATCGCTTTTGATCAGGCTTGTTGGGAGTTCTGTGCCCCTCCTGGATCTTGTTTCCCAATTCTTTCTCTAGATTAGGGAAATTTTCCTTGATTATTTCATTAAATACATTTGCAAACATTTGTAAAACCAGTTTCTCTTTCTGCACCTTCTGGGACTCCCATAACTCTTATATTTGGCCTCTTAATAGTGTCTTTCAATTCTTGAATAGTTTCTTTGGCCTGATCCAGCTCTGCTTCCAGTTTTTTGTTTGCTTTCCCCCCAGTGACAGGAAATATCTTCCAATCCTGAGATTGTTTCTTCTGCTTGCTTCATTCTATTTTGGAGACCCTCCACTGTACTTTTAATTTGCTCTACTGTGTTATTCATGTCTGATATATCAGCCTTGATTTGCTTTATTGCTTCCTTAAATTCTTTGAACTCTTGCATGAGCTTCTCATTTTTGATCAGAATCTTTAAAATGAGTCTTATGGATTCTGTGTCCCCCATTTTCTTGATGTCTTCCTCAGTTAACTCTGAGTTTGGCATAGGATTTTGTTCCTTTGCAGGGGAGTGTTCGGTACTATTCATTGTGCCTTTGTACCTTCTTTTGCTCTTGATCATTGTACTTCTGGTTAGCAGAGTCTTTTTCTTGGGGCAAGTTTCTAAGCTGTGTCACCCACAGGTCTACAATGTGATTTTACTTATTGTAGTTGGTACACAACTTTTTGTTTGCAGCCACTTGTGCCACAACCTCCAGCGAGTTCCAGGTCTGGGTTCTTATGTCAGATTTCCACCGTGGTCTCCACAGCCCCAGCTCCTGGCTCATCAATCTCCACCTGCTGTGATACCATGCTGAGGTTGCACTGTTGTCTCTGCAACCTTTCTCCTGCTGTTAGGTCTGGGTGCCACACGGACCTATTTTGATCCATATGATGCCACAGTCGATATTATTTTCCTGCGGGACCAGTGAAATCCATAGAACTCAGTCCTTTCCCTTGCCTTTGCCTGCTTACGCAAAATGGTGCCCAATTCGGCTCTATGGGGCTGACTGGGCTGTGAAATCCACCCTGCTCTCGCACTGCCTGTCTGGGATCTGCTGCTCTGTCTCTGCTCCTGGTCAAATCAAACGGACCAGTAAGAAGGACAGTTCTTTGTCTGGGTTCATCTCCAAAGCTCCCAGTGAAAGTCCCTTCCCACCTGGTTGCTGGTGGAGTTCAGCTGCTGGTGGAGTTTAGATCCACTTTAGCTGAATGCCGCTGGAGTATTAGTCACTGCAACACCACCCTGTTGTGTCCGCTGCTTTGCTGTGTCTGTCAGTCTCCAGGTACCCCTCTGCTGTTGTTCTTTTCTTTCCTGTTTCCTGGAATATGTCCTCTCTGCTTCATCCTGATTAAATGTTTTTCTGTCTGTTTCAACATGTCCTTACCTTGTTCTGCCATCTTGATTCTCCCCTTCTTGCTATAGTTTTCATGTTGATTTTTATCTTGATGCTAAATATGTAGGCTTAGATAATGGTATTATTTAAATTGTTTGAAATTACTTGTCAAGGGCCTTTGTATCAAAGGATCATTTTATAGCTTTTAAATCTACTACATGCTAAATTCCTCTAATAGACTCATAATGGTAAAAAGGCAAACGGTTGGGATATTGGTAGCAAGGAAGCAGAAATGAAATTTAATTGTGATTTGGTTTCTTGGTATGCTCCTGATTTACTGATGTAGTGTTTACAGTTTAATGGAATTTATTTCTTGGTAGTATTTAAATGTAAAAATGAGGTATGTTCAGCTAAAATTTGCTTGAGTTTAATTGATATAATTTAAAGAGGCCAAGATTAAGTTTTTAGGCATTGTCTATTTTCTATTTCTGGGACATGTTTGGAAAGCTGATTATTGTCTTATTTATTTTTGCTTATATAAAACCATGAATCATATTTTAGGTAAAGGGGTCTTTGGGATTGTTGACTGTTCTTTATTTTTCTCTTTGAAATTTTCATTGTAAAATTTGTTCTGCTTTTCCAATCAATTTGTGTTATTTTGAGTCACTCATTAAATCTGATAACTATTTAAATCATAAAAGCAACTTTCATGTCTCTAATTCTATTTGTTTGTCTACCTACCTATCTTCCTGTTTACCTTTGCTTTGATTGAAATACATAGTTTTGGTAAATCTTTCTCAAAACAGTAAGAGGATATGTGAGACATGGAAAACAAAAATTGTGTCTAGTAATTACTCCCTCTGGCAACTGCAGGAGGTGAAAATATGTGGCAAACACAGGTGTAAAGGAATAGATTTAGAAAAAAAAAACTTGGTTTGCTACTTCTAGAAACTTGTCTGTTTAAAACAAACCTAAAATAAGAAGTGAAAAAAGAAGAGTTATTTAATTTCGAACATGTGCAACTTCTGCTGCCATTTGCCTTGGTATAAAGATTTCTGAGCTGTCGTTACACTGTGTATTAAATGGTGACTCATGGTTCCAATGTTCTCTCTTTCTCATAGTGTATGCCGATTAAAGGGCTGGGGTTCGTTCTAGGAGCCTATCAGTGCGTCTGCAAAGCAGGATTCTACCATCCTCGAGTCTTCTCCGTGAACAACTTTCAGAGTAAGTGCCCTTGTTTCCATGAATGTGGATGTCTGCACAGAAACACGTGTCACTTTCGTCTTGTTGAAGTCATGTGGTTAAAGCCCCACAGCTGCGCCCATTTACATCACTTACCATCACAAAATATGTGCTGACTTTCAGTACATTCGGAATGCCTTAAAATATTTTAGTTCCTGGGTAAAGCCAACTATGGTTGAGTTATTGAGTGTTGCTACCAAAAGCTCCCCCAAACTGATTTTGTCTTTTTGTTTGTATTTCTGTTAATTTGGTTGCACGTTGATATTCTATGCTGCCTAACAAGTGATTACAAATTGTGTCGCTTCAAGTAACACAAACTTACTATTACCATTTCTCATCCTGGCTGAGCTGCGTCTTCTGCTCCAGGTCTTGAGACCCACCAAAATCCTGGTGTCCCTGGAGTGTGGCCCCTGAGATTCACAGCGGTCCCACGCTGCTGGGTCATTTCACCTTTTTGGAACGGCAGGCCTAACCTCCTCATTCTTCTGTCCAGCTTGGGGTGACTCTTATCTGCTGAAAGTTGCCCCACAGCCTGGCTGTGTGACGCTTTCCCAGGGAGGCTGGTCACAAGCACGTGCATAGCTGCCTCAAGAGTCTTCCCTAATAGCGCAAGCACAGGTGTGGCTCTCCCAGTGCTTGGCCACAGAGTATAACTCAGTGCAAGCAGAAGGGACATTTAAAGGGACATATTTGTGCAGAGCTTGTATTCCAAAGTTGAAATTTGTTTTTTGGCTCTTTTATTTCTGTTCCAGAAAATGTCAGTATTGTAGTCTGAACATCATGCTTTATTCTTTCTCTAAAGAATGCAGTGTTGCCTTATCAACTTGTAGCCATTGGATGGTGTTGTTAAGAAGGAGTGTGATGAGAAAAGGGTGGTTTCCCAGGAAGTTAGGTGTTCTTTTTTTTTTTTTTTAAGATTTATTTATTTATATGGGAAAGGCATATATACAGAGAGAAAGAAGTACAAAGAAAAAGATCTTCTGTTCACAGATCCACTCCTCATGAGGCTGCAACAGCTGGAGCTGAGCTGATCCAAAGCCAGGAGTTAGGAACCTCCTCTGGGTCTCCCACACGGGCTCAGGATCCCAAGGCTTTGGGCTGTCCTCTATTGCTATCCCACGCCACAAGCAGGGAGTTGGGTGGGAAGTAGAGCAGCCAAGACACGAATTGGTGCCCATATGGGATCCTGGCACATGCAAGGCTAGGACTTTAGCCACTAGGCTGTTGCGCTGGGCCCAGAATTAGGTTTTGAGGTTGTCTGAGTTCCTGGGAAACTGCACATTTCAGCCTGACAATAACTGGATGATTTCTATAGAATTGGCATCTCTGTTGGGCATACATGAAATAGGATATTGAGACTGAGACCTGATTTTCTTCATCTGGGCATCTGGGGAGCCACTGCCAAATTAATATGTAGCATATCTCCCTTTCCCTAGAAGTCTATCCCTGATCGTGACATTTCCATTTGGCTTTGAGGCTCTGAAGATAAAAACGATGTTGGGCTGTGCCCCCGATCTTCTGTTGCCGAGCTCAGCCTTGACTCGGAACAGCAGTTGTAGTCGCAACTTTTTAAGGGGGTCTCTGAGAACCTGCCATCACACACATAGCTTCATCCTCTCAATTTAAGAATGCATAAGGCCTGGGCATATAGTGAAATGGTTGCTCCCTTGCTTGGCGGTGGTGTATAGCCAAGCTGATGATTGGCTCACTCTCATGATTATATTGTGTTACACAAGTATGAATCTCTATTGTAGCAGATTACAGGAGAGGAGAGAGAGAGTGAGTTACTGGCTTTGAAGAACTAAGCAAGCTTGTTGTGAGAACTGTGTGGCTGGGCCTTGGGAATGGCAAGCCTCACTGAAACCCAACAAGAAAATAGGAGCATTGTTTCATAGCTGTAAGGAACTAACTTCCAGCAGCTGGAATGTATTTGGAAACAGACCTTGAGCTCCAGAAGACAATGTACCCCAGTGGAAGTATAGATTCCAGCCTAGGGGTACATTCAGCAGAGAACCCAGTTCCACAATACTTGACTTCTGGTCAACAGAAACTGGGTACTAGCAAGAAGGCATCTTAAATCCCTATGTGTCTGCTAATTTATTATGGAACCATGGAGCCCATACAAGAACAGGGATGGTAACACATTCTCAGGCTGTTTATACTTGTCGTGTGTGTGATGTGCCTGTACTTGTGGGAATGTGTGTACCAAGCCGTGGTGACACCATAGCTACTTTGGCATTCTCCCCATTTGTGGTCCAGACATAACATATGATTCAACGTTGAAGGATTAAGGGACTAGGTTTCAGCTTATGTTCTGTGAAGGTATTTTGTTTCTGGTTTACCCACATTTGTTCTCAGCTCCCACTATGTGACTGAAATAAAACATCTAAATATTGTAGAACCAGAGAATGACTATGCCATTTGCTTATAACACCACCCAGAGTAACTGGCTAACCTTTAGCAACTTATCTTTATTTAATTTGCACACTCCTACTTTCTTCCTTATTTTAAAAGTCAGTGATTTTCTCCTTTTTTTTTCCTTTAAACTGGACCTACTCTCTAAGAAAAGGCTGCTTGTCTGCGTTAGTCTACCTCCCATGTCATGTTCATTACAACCATAGAAAACAAAAGGCCATGGTTTTCAGTATAGGATCAATTACAGAGTGTAGCCTTGATGCAGCTGGGACCTTAGCACACTTAACCAAATCTGCCCTTTTTCAGTGACGGAGCAAAAAGCTGGCTACAGGTGACAATTTGAAGCCAGTAAAGTGTTCTTTGACCAAATATATCTTTCACGTTGGCCTTGTCAAGTTGCATGAAAATCCAATATTCATCTCTCCTCATTTTAAAGGAGTTCAACAGCCTGACCTGGAATAAGAGCTGTGACTCACCAGAGTCAAAAGCCAAGGACTTTTGCAAATATGTGTTTAATTTATTAGAACGTATTCCACATCTCTGTCTTAATGTATAACATCTTCTATTCACAATATCCTGGCAAATTATATGGGCAGCAGTTGTCATACTTTGCTTTGATGAGAAATTTGTGATATAGGAATGGCCAAAAGCAGCCCTGGAGCCAAGGCAGACAAAGCACTAAAAACCCAATATACTGGTATGGGATCCATGGCACAGTAGGCTTAGCCTCTGCCTGTGGCTCATGGGCATTAATTTTTGTTCTGACTGCTCTGCTTTGGACCCAGCTTCTTGCTAATGTACCTGGGAAAGCAGTGGCAGATGTCCCAAGTGCTTGGGCCCCTGTACCCAAGTGGGAGACCAAGAAGAAGTTCCTGGTTCCTTGCTGTAGATTAGCTCAGTTGCAGATCCTGAGGCCATTTGCAGAGTGAAGCAGCAGATGGAACACCTCTTTGTCTCTGCTTCTCTTTATAACTCTGCCTTTCAAATAAAAATAAAATAAGTCTTTATAGAAAAACAAAATTCGGAATTACATAAATGAAACTGCTGGCATGGTACATATTATGGATCATAGGATAATTATTCAGCAGACATAGTTGTAGAAATGAATTTGCACACACACGTAAACATTAATGATATGTGTAAAGAGACAAAGCTTCAACACAGAGTCCTTAGCACTTTATCTCAGACATTCTGTCCCATTGAAACCAGTGCCTAAGGCAGAACTTGGGAGAATGGATTCTGCATGAATCAGGAGGGAGAGGGAGTAGCAACTGAGAAGATTGAGAAGAAGAGCAAGAAGGAGGGAAGGGACCCTTCTTGGGAGTTGAAGGTGGCAGGTGGCTGTGAGTCTGCAGAACAGGGCCGATGGGACATGGTAAATGGGATGGCTCCCCCATGCAGGTGAAGTCACTTCCTACAGAGTTGCAGAGGCGGGAAGGAACCTCAGGTCTCACATTTCTTCTTCTCCCCCTTGGAGAAAGGAGCTAGGAGGCAGGTCTGAACCCTTAGAGAAAATATCGTGGTGTGATTTTTTTTTAAAAAGCTTTTATTTAGACGTGGACAACTGCCGACAAAAGATCGGTAAAGACCATCAAAGGTGCGTTCAAAAAACATGATTTAAAATTGTGCTGACAGCCCAGAGACCTCGTTCCTGGCATCTTTCTTGAAATTGACAGCTGCTTGTGAGCTAAGGGGACCTGACATTTGGATAGTAGCAGCATTCCAGAATAACCAAGTCTGGATGTCAGGCTGTCTCTTCAAATCCGGGCGCTCCTCTCCCAGGCTGCTGCTACACGAGCCAGGAACAAGGTCGCCTTCCTCAAATGCCATCTCACTCTGAATTCTGTCCTTGGGAAAACCAAGGCAGAAAGCTAACGAGAGACTGACATATGTATTGTTTGGGATGGGACAGAGGGAGATTCTTGGAAAGTGGCACAGTTTAGGGAGGCTGAGCCGTAAGGCAAGCCCTCTGAATAAGGATGGTGGGCCTCTGGGGCCAGGCTTAGGTCCTCATGCTGGGACCACATGGCAGCTCTCTTTTGTTCCTGGTCTTCACAGCTGCAGACCTGGAGTTATTTTACTTTTGCAGATGAGGATCAGCATCCATTTACAGTGCTTATCCCAAGTTTAGCTGGAAGAGAGTAACAGAACATGAATGTATTTTCCTAATCAATAATCAGCACCATCCTTTTTCCTGCAGACCTGACAGTAAGCTTGTGGTCTGCTCCGAAGCTAGATTTGCTAGTGTTATCAAGAGCTTAAACAGTTTTACTCCACTTGTAGCATCAGGATACCCCACTAAATTTCCCGGGCATGTGCTTTTCCTTTGTCATTTTCCTGATTTCTCATTTCTGTATATTGTTTCCCTTTCAATTGTTATTTTACACGGATTGGAATTTTGTCCCTACGTGTGTCCAGCAGATGGGGTTAGTGGCCAGTAGAATTCTGTGGTGACTCGTCTGTTTGGAATTGGGAGGGTCGCAGCAACCTTGTTGATCCGGGGTTGTGTTGTTTTCCACTGATGGAGCATACTCCATAGCGTGCTGGACTTCCCTGGGTGCTCACCT